TGAGATGGAAAACATCAATAATCAGGAAGATTTGATAGATTTATGTCAGTATGTACACAAATTGTCAATCAGATCAATCTAGGTTCATTAGATATATTGATAATTGTTATATTATTCATCTATTGTATGTGAAAGATATGCTAATTTTAGAATCAGAAATGGAAAAGATCGTTGAATTAAAGAAACAATTATCAAGGGATTTTGAAACCAAGAAAATCTTCGGTATGGAAATCAGTACGGATAAGAGTGCAGATATATTAATGTTATCTCAGGCAAAATACAATGAAAAGATCCTACATAGATTCAACATGAGTGAGGCTAAATCAGTTTGCATTCTCTTAGCTAATCACTTTAAAATATCTAAGGAACAATCGCCTAAGTTGAAACAAAGAAAACATAAATGGAAAAACTATGGATACTTCAGCTGTTAGAAATTTGATGTATGTAATGATATGTACAAGGACAGAATTACAGATGCATTAGCAGTGGTTAACTAGCACATTAGTAATAAAAGCAAATATCATTGGGTGGCAGTGAAGTGAATTCTCAGATGCATGAGATAAATAGTGAACAAAGCAGTTTGTATTGTAAGATTCGGAATTAATCTATAAGTATATGTAGATTCAGAACATACAAGAGATATTGACGATAAAATAAGTATATATTATATTTTAACTTTGTGGAACACAATAATAACTTAAAATTTTCAAGTTATAGAAGATTGTTGCTCTATCAACTACAAAAAATGAGTATAAAGCTATCGTTGAGACCAGCAAGGAAAACATTTGAATGTAGAGCTTTATGGCAAAAGTTGTTAAGGAGCAAAGGAATGGAAAACTTTACAGTAAAAGTATGAGTGACATTCACCAAGCAAAGAACTTCGCAATCCATGCAAGGAGAAAGCACATTCAGCTAAGATATCATTTTAGTTGTGCACTCATTGAAGATGGTCAATTATATTTGGAGAAAATACACATAGCTCAAAATCTTACTAATATACTGACTAAGGTTGTAATAGTTAAGAAACTGAAGCTATGTTTGACTTTAGTTCGAGTTTAAAAAAAATGAGATTGGGGTGAGCCACATTACGATTGAAACTGTGAAAATGCTGCAAACTTAGAGGAGCAAGATTAATTGCAATCAGTCTCTAAGTAGGAGATTGTTATTATATGAAGCATAATTGTGTTAATCAATTCTTCGCACAAACCCCTCAGTTTTGATGATCAAGCTTGACGGTGAGTTTGTCGGTGAGTATGGGGGGTGTCCCTCGTGTTTTGGGTTCTGGGGCGTTGTCACCAAAAAAAATTATATATACAACGCCCCAGCATCAAACCAGCAATGCCTCGGTGCCCAAAAGGCAACCCCGCAGCATCTAGTCAAGGTTCAGAACTCGAGAGAATGAAACTATAACACATGGATGCAGCGTCACAGTGCCCCTTTAGAGCGTCGCA